AGAGATTGTGTAGTATGTTACATAATTGATACTACTGGGAATAATCCAGTTCAAAGTAATACCAGTGGTTGAAACACTAGTTATTGAGAGACTAGTAACTGGACTAGGAACTAGAACAGAAATTACATCCACTTATATGCTATTGCATAATCATACAAATATTTACCATCAAGTTTTAATATTGTTGCTGTATTATTGACTGAAGGAAGATCTCTGTATGAGTATACCATGATGGTATAAGTACTCATTGGTGATAGATCTGTCAATACAGCTTTATTACTGGTTGTCTGCAATACACCTCCATTAGTATATGTAATTACATATCCATTAGTCTCTGATGAATCAGTCCAGTTGACTTTAATGCTAGTAGAATTTAATATGAACCCTCTCACATTGATTGGAGGACCACTAGGAGCTATAAAAAGACATACATGTATGTGTGTAAATGCATTCATTGATTGTATTAAAATCATACCGTCTAGTGTCACATATTCACTGTAGGTGACTCCTCCAAGCATTGCTATACATGAAACAGTTAGCGATACTCCCAGTGGATCAGGATATATCAGTAGTGTGTTGTTTGTTATATCATTAGCTGATTCATTCATTGAGCTACTCTTCATCACTCCATTCACTAACCAGTAAACATTAGCTGATGAACTTGTATCAGTAGTCGTGATACAATCAATACGATATTGAGTGTTATTGAGTTGTGTGATGGATGAAACTAGCATCCAATTGATTGAATTAATAACTATAAAAATGGGCATCAACAGTAGCATATACATGTGCATCTACACATGTACATAGTATACCTGTGAAGGTCCGTACACTGATTGTACTACTAGCAGGTCCCAGTAATTGTTGATAGGCTCTGACTGTGATGCTATAAGTTGTTCCTCCTCTCAGTCCATTCAGTGTGATTCTATTATTACTACTACCCTTCACCTGTACTGTCCGCACAGTGTCTGTGTCACTAGTGACATTGACTACATATCCATCAGCATCAGATGAATCAAGTGCAGTCCAACTGACAGTGATAGTGGTAGCTGTCTTGCTGACCATGGTAAGAGAAGAGGGAGCAGTTGCTGGTACTATTAAATTTATGGTAACATAGTTACATGTACAATTAATTCATTACCTTTTATTGTTAAAGTACGTATTCTATTAGCACCATCTCTAGGATTATTCAGAAAACACTTATACATTTGATCTCCTGTACTTAATTTATTATTCGATCCAATGCTAGCAGTCCTCCCATCCCATGTGATATCAAAAGTATATCTCAATGTATTGGTATCTCCATTTATGTAAATACCAGGACAAGGGGAATTGTTTCCATCATTACAATCTCTGTAACTAACGAATGTGGAACTACCAAGATCTAGGCTTAAACTATATGACACATGTCCTATTTTAGTACAATGCAGTTTGTATTTCTGAGGATATACTGTCATATCAGAAGGAAGATCAGCAGCATAAAATGATTCTATCTGTGCATATCCTAAAAATGAAAATCAAGGCATGCATATACATGTACATCAGCCACTATAATAAGTGATTATAGATCTCTTACTGAATATATTAGCAAAGATGATGTTAGTGTTAGGATCTGAACAATTAGTGGGTAGACAACACTTGTACCAGCCATCGCCAGATGGAAGGAGATATTTGCCTCCATAATTAGGTATGAACAAACTGATCCTTAGTGGTGCAGTACCTTGATAAAGACTACACCGAATATTCGTTTTATCGCCAGGACAGGGCATTTTTCCAGCTGGACCAATCCATTCTCCGCCACTTAATGTAGCAAGATTAATCCTACAATCTACCCTGCGCGATATGATTCTACTATCCCAAAAATATGATCCATTATAATAACAGCGTCCTCTGTGTCTCAGGTAGACACCTATAAATATTGTACTTGCATGCATGATGCATACATTGCAATCTTACCTGATGTAGGACAATAACTGATAGCTGGATTCACACTCATCATGAAGACTATAGACAGCACTAGCATTGAGTCTGCTGCATACATTATCTTCTCATAGACCTTTATATAATTAATGGCTTATCAATGTAGATTTGTAAGCCGGATTTATCAATGTCAAATTATTTTGCCAATTATTAGTACCAGTACATAATAACTTCAAGACAAGATCAGCTTCAATTGATCTCAGGCTAAGCTTGACAGGACTCTTACGTATCATTATCCATAGATACCACTCCACCGTGAAGTTGGCGTGGTCTCGAGCCACGCCTATTTCACGGCGGTACTGGTATAGATAATTACTTAATTTGATAGGGGTTCACCCACTTATGCTGTCACCATGGTCGTCAAGCACTTGAGAAGACTATTACAAGCCTACACCGATTAAGGATAAAGATAGACGAGAATATTTAGAATAAGATAAGGAATAGAAGCTGAAGGTTCTCTACGAGTTTGACTTGAACTTTGAAGGTAGATCTAGATTTTGTCAAGTTTTTAATTTCATTTATGATAATTAAATTTTGTATAATCTAGAGACAACTAAAATGATGAAGGAATTTTACAGCACCTGCTCGCTAGCTACCAGCATTAAATTAATTGTGAGTACTTTAAATACTGTGTACACGTACAAATCAGTATTATTATACTTACTATACTGCATTAACTGATATGATTGTACTAGTAGTATGTTGCATGAAGTGCCCAGTATTGCAATTCTAAACTCAAGCTTATCAAAGATTGAAATTTTGCTAACATTATTTTACTTTCGTGGATTTGACCACACCCTTCCATTATGGCAATTAAATATAAAACGCTCCTTTTTGTACGTTCTCTGGTCCTGACACCTGTAATCTGTGTTAGAGTTAAGTTCATACAGCACATGAAACATGTATTGTGGGGTAACAATGGGAATGAATGGGTAATCTACTAGCGAGAGTATTACCATCTTTCTACAAAGAGAATACTACCATATATCCATCAATATCAGAGACATTTCACCTTTTTTTAAAATGGACCAACTTCACTATAGCACCTTCTATCCGTTTGCTTACTCTTTCTTACTAAACACTCAATCTTTTAGTTCTTATCTCTCGATCTTAGATCTACAATAATACTATAATAGTTGTAAATCCACCATTATAATTATAATTATCATTATTGTTATTATTATTATTGTTGTTATTGCGTAGCCATATAAAAAATATTGAGCAGCAACAATTTTCATTAGAAGGAGTTTTAAAATTTAAGTCTTCTTTTACTGGTAATTATAGTACCTATTAATAAAGAAAAGTATGACAGTCAGACATTTTACAATCATTTTGTTCCATTATCCAGCCAAATTCTGTTTTATTCTATCTCTTTGTCTGAACAAGGTAGTTTTTATGGCATTCGGAGGATCGGAGCAAGTTTTAAAATTCATAAAAAATCCAAACCTGATTGGAATCAGCTCAAACTTTCTACACAACATAAGAACATGTATATGCATCAGAAAAAATTATAAAAATTGAGAATTCTCTTCTAGCCATTTTTGACAAAATTTGGCCAGTGACCAAAGGCTATAGCCTTGGGTCATTGGCCCAATTTTTGAGCAACTTTAAAAATTCATAAAAAATCCAAACTTGACCGGAATCAGCTCAAAGTTGATGTACAACATAAGAACGTGTATATGTATCAGAACAATTTATAAAAATGGAAAATTCTCTCCTAGCCATTTTTGACAAAATACCCTGTACTTTAGTACAGGACCTATAGCCCAATTTTTGATCAACTTGACAATCCACTGACGAAAAGCTGCATAACAAACTAAGCAATGTTCAGACAACTAAATACGTCAGACACAATGTCTGAACATAGTTTGAATGTAATTTTAGGCTCTGATAAGAGTAACTGTATACTCTCACTGTAGCTGCTACATGTATGATGTATTGAATGTCATGTGATTAAGTTAGCATAAAAACTGTGTCACTGTATTGTGCTATAGTATTTCAGGCAGGGTACATGTATAAAGCTAAAATTAATTGAGGTCAATATTCAATAGTCAACTCAGCAAAATGCCTTTTATAGCAAAGGTTGTTTTGGCACAAAATTTGACGATTTGGCAATTCACAGTTACTGTAACACCACCAAATTTTAGTTTACCTTCATGTGTACATTACTAGCCTGACAAGGTATTGCCAAAGTTTCAGCAACCAAGTCAAGTTATTGACGTAATGAGTTTGAGCTGAAATTTTCTCACACTATAATCCATGTACATGTACATTGTACAATGTACAAGGCTGATATGTACAGATTAGTGTATTGCTTTATCTTAAAGACAATAAAAAGACATTACTTTTAATGGACTCTATATGATGTTTAGAACAGCGAGGATTATTAGTGTAACGACTGCTACGAACAGAAGGAAGATGGCGATTGTCCAAAACCAGCAACAAAAGGAGCAAAAGCATGATCCGCCATCATGGCAATAGTCATCAGGATAGTCATCTGTAGTACCGCAGTACAGATTCTTACAGCATTGACGCACTTCGTCCATTATGATTGGGTTTTGTTAGAAGAGTAGGTTAGTGGAGTTGCTAGGTTCACTAACGAGAGAAGGAGTTGTCTTTATATAGAGTTAGTGTCTTCAGCGACAGGTTAAGACCAACCTTATGAATCCCTCCAATTGATGCCACTCCTTCTGGCAATCGGAATCCGGAGAAGTATCAATGTACGATATAGACACATACTTGTGACACTTTATATTATGATGTGGTTTATATAAGAATAATGGAATAGGTAGCTGGATCTGTACTGCATTGTAAGATTTGAGTGTAGTTTCATTGACTGGTATATATGTACATCACTTATGTCACCATCATTTCCTTCCCCCCCTCTCTCTCTCTCCCTCTCCCTCTCTCTCTCTCTTAGTGTTTATCAATTTAATAGACATTTGTCATTACACAGTTTTCAATTAATGGTCATATACCATTAGTGGATATTTGTACATCCAATGGTGCTGGTTCACTTGTACTGTACATGATATTAATACAAGTACATGTACATGTTAATATACAGTAGCATACTGTGTAATGTACTGTTACAGTATAATATACTGTGCTTCTATGTATTGTGGTTAATTCTTAATACTGTATATTGTTAATATTATCTTATGGTTTGATGTACATATACATATGTATTGTGTTTCATTCCCTGTTAATGTGTTGTGGTTGTTTTGACTAGTGAAGGGTGGGCCTTACTCATGTAGTTGGTATAGTCTCACTTTGTGATTATACTATTAAGAATTCCCCCATCATACTCTCTCTCTCTCTCTCTCTCTTGGAATTATCACTTTATCTTTCTCTCCCTCCCTCCCTTTCTCTACAGTCACTTCTTCCTGTTATCAATAGTACATAAGGGTGTCATTTACTTTTATTGTTACCATACGCCCCCTCTTTAATTACTCTCTAATAATACCCTAGCTATCTTGTTACACTTTGGTATACTTGTATTGCAGTACAACCTGATCTGTTGTATCAGCATTAGTTCCAATTGAGTGGAACAAACAAATCAATTGAATCAGCTCTTACTATAGTAGGAGTGGGAGTGGCAATTAACAACT